TGTTCCAATCAGATCTCCCCTCAAAAGCACCTGCTGTGGAGAGCGCAGCTGACTGACAGCCTTCAGCTGCCACACCTTTGGATCCACTGTGGAGTTCATGACAAGCCACGCTTCCCTTGGCTGCTTCCGGGCTTTGATTGAGCAGGTACTAGAACCTGGCCTTTCCTGTCTGCAAAGATTTAGCTGGCACCACTAGCAGAATGCCCCTCTAGTCACAGAATCCCACCTAGCAGGGTATTCACAAGAAAACTTACTTTATAGTAAAGGAGGTACAGGTAGGCCATGACCATGGGGTCTAATTGTTTTATCATATATTGTACTATTTAGGTGAAGTTGGCCTCATAGAGTACTGGAAAAGCCTACTTAAGTCACAGCTAAATCAGCAGCTCAGAGACAATAATCTGCAAGGATGGCATGACATCTCCCAGTATTCAGTATAGGCACTAATCAGAGATTTCTATATGACACTGTGTCTCTAGTAGGACAAATACATGGATCTAGGAACCAAAAGGTGAAATCACAAATAGCTGTATTTACAATCACTCCTAACAACGCACCGGAGAACTCTGTGCTTCACCTCCCCCAACTCTGGGTTGAGTAGAATTACAGGTTTTCTCTCTTGCAACGGGGTAGAGCAGGCATCCATTGAACTGTAAGTTATGTACAGTATGATACTTTTGGCTCTTTGCAGCCAGGGGCCAGGAAGCAAGGATGATTGATTAGTATGAGGAGGTGGGGCAACTTTTACACCCTGGGGACAAGGAGAAATACACATGTGGAACTCAGACGATCCACTTGGGTGCCTCTTGGTATGCCCTTACCTAATTCTAACTGTGAATGGACACAAACTGCAGTCACGGAATGAGAAGAGTATGACGACAAAAGCCCAAGACCACTTAGGAGTGAAGTTTAGGTCATGCCACCAAGTAAGTCAACAAGATCTGCTGAAGTGAGAGCTGGGAGTTAGGGGAATATAGAGTGGAGAGTGGAGGACAGGGTAAGTACTAGTGTGGTCCCAGACCACCTGCGATGAGAGTTTGTCCTATTAACTTCCCTTCCCTAAGTTTATCCTAGAGAGGTTGACAGAAATCATGAAGCGACACCATGAACGTTATGATGAACTGACTTACAGTCTCCATCTACTGCACTTTTGGATTCACCACTGAGTTTGCACCAGACTAAGTTTTTCCTGCACTGCTCTCAGACAATGACTGAACACAGCAGAGATACTAGAACTGGGCAATTCCTGACCAATTTGGAATTCCTCTAATGAACAACTTTGGCTTAGGACTCCCCATTGACCTGGCTGAGTCTCTCAGAATGACACTGCAAATAGGTTCTTTCAACCTATTCTTCCTTCCCATTCTTTTTCAGATTTCCACCCCCCTGCATTCCAATCTGAGTCTCCCTGCCTTCTCTTGCTGGTCTCCCTTTGTCCTTCACAGGCATTTTCTCTAATCTCCTGCACATGTAATCCTATCTTGGCATCTGCCTCTCAGAAACCTGTAGCTGACAAACTGGGTGTTGTTTTTAAATTTCGGCAAAAGAAAATGACACCCACAACGGTGACTAGAATGAATTAAGAAAGATTCTCAATGGGAAAAGTTAGAGCATAGCCGAATCTCTAGTTTTTAACAAGTTTTTCGGGGGTTAGTAATTGCTCTGGTTTTGTTCAGTTAGCTATGAAAAAAAAAAAAAAAAACTTCAAAAATATGTATGAATCTAAGAATAACTTTGATGGCTGGGTCAAGACCAATCAGACATCTGTTAATTTCAGAAACACCAATATGTCTATTGAACCAGAATGAATCGAACCTACCATTTTTATGGTGGCCTTGATAGGACATTCAAGCACAGCGCCTTGTATGGTAATTCTGAGAGAAAGGCACTAATGTGAGGAAATATAAAAACTTTTAATAAGCACATGTTGCAGTGTTACATTAGGCAACCGGAAATATTCATTAATTTAAAGAATTCTGGCAGAAAGCTTTAAAAGGAGGGAATAGGTCCTCAGAGAAATTTTGTTCAAGGGGTAAAAAGGACCTGGAGAAGAGATACTTAACACAAGGCGATAGGAAGAATCCAGGGGGGAAAGCAACACCATCAAGCTAATAACTGGGTGACCTTGGAGAATGGCCTCAACATATTTCCTAACATACAGTTTCATGCCAGGATATACACACTGTATATAACATACAGTTTAATGCCCGGATATACACACAGTTTGTTGAAGATGTCTTACAATGAAGCCTACAGAGTGCAGAGAGAAACAAAATACAATCCTAAAGAAGTAGTTTTAGGAAGGTAACCTTTGAATCTTCTCTCTTCATCCCTCTTGGGAAATGGCAAGGAAAAGATACCCCTTGGTGGAAAAGATATCCATTGGCATCTTCGGGAGTGCCTATTTTATCAAAATCACTCATCATGTTCATTACTGCTATTTCACACAATCTCCTGAAAAATGATGTCAAGCAGCCACAGTAACCTGCCTGGTTTTGAAATTCCTCATTTTGGTTTTCTATGACCCTGGATAACCTGGCCTCATCCTATTTATTCAACTTATTTTTCCTTCTTTCCCATATACGTTCCAAACTAGTCAAGCTAGTCTACCCACTGTTGTTCAACGCACCACTCTCATTCTTGTCTTGCTGTCTTTGGATGTTCCACCCATTCCGGTTCAATTCTGCTCCTCTTTCAAGCCCCATCCTCATTCCAGGCATTACCCTGTGGGTTTGACTCAGGGGGCTCTTGCCATATACATTACGTAACTTGTTACTTTCAAAATACGTTCTCTTGGATTACTGCTGTAGGATTTATTAAAAAATTATTTTAGGCGGATAGAGAGGAAAAGGGGTCCTTGGAAAGTTTTTGTCTCCTTTAAAGCAGCTCCAGAAGTGTTTCTTGTCTAGCAGGAAAGCCCCTCTTAGAGCCTGGCTGTCAAACTTTGATATGCAAATGCAAGCCATTAGAAACTAGGTCCACACAAACATGGCATAGCCACCTTGTCCTCTTGGCCTTGCCCCTACATGTGCCTGGCAACATGGCCACCCCCACATATCCCCACATTTGTAGAACATCAAGGCGACCTGTATTTGCATATTAAAAGGCTAGGGTGGAAGAGCCAGGTTTTTCCATGGGCTAGGGGTATGACATGCCTGATCAAACCAATCCCCTGAGCGCTATGCAAATCAGACACCGCCTCCTCCAGCCTCCTCATATAACCCGCTGTTAACGCGGCACTCCGGGTTTCCTCTCTAGGCTTTGGAGCCCACCTCCCTGTGTCTCTACAGGGGGGCGTCTTCCTTCTTTCTTCTCCCGTCTTTCTCGCCCATTAAATTCTCCACTCCTTAAAACCACACCATGTGTGTCTGTGTCATTTTATCCAATTCGGCTGAGATGAGAGCCCTGGTGTTCTTCCACTCATCGGAGCTGTATCATTAAGAGTGTGTGTTTCATGTATTTATCTCCCCCAAATAGATTGCAAACTTCTTAAATACTTGACTCATTTGGTAAATATTCATAATTGCAAAACCTTAAAGCTGCATGATTCTAGATGATGAAACTGATATGTAGACAGTCACCCATACTGAGTATCAGAGTTGAGAACATCAAAATAAAATTGAATGCTTACTATGTACCTGGCATAATTTTAAGTTCCCTACATATATTAACTTACTTAATTCATGCCTTTGGCATCATCCTTCATGACTTTCTTTCTCATATATCCCAAATCTAATCTGATTCTATTGGCTCTATCTTCAAAATAGAGCTGGAATCCACTTACTTCTCACCAAATTCACCATGCCAAATCTAGGCTCCGCCCTCTACTGGAACACTGTAACAGGTTCCTAATAGATGGATTCTCAACACTGCAATCCTTTTAAAATTTTAAGTCACACCTCTTCAATAGTCTGTAATGACCTACAAGACCCTATATAATCCTTCCCCTCCATCACCTTAACTTCCTCTCCATTACTCTCTGCTTTGCTCAGTCTGCTCCAGCAACATTGATCTGCCTTAGTCTTCCACAAACACACAACGCACCTAGAACCTTTGATTTTTTTTTTTCTTTTTCTTGTCTGGAGCACACCCCAATCATATACACAGCTAATTCTCCTTAAGTTGGCTCAACTCTCAGTTTATCAATAAGGCCTATATAGACACTATTTAATTCTGCAATTTGCCTCTCCACCTCTCTCCTGACTCTCCCCCCACCCTGCCCTTTCTAATAGCACTTCTCATTCTTCATCATACTGTTTACCTTTAAGCTATATATTGTCTGTTCTCTCCATCCCCATTTAAGCTCTATGCCGGGAATGCCGGGTTTTTGTTTTATTTACGGTTGTATCCACAGAGTCTAAAACAGTGCCCGGTACACGAAAGGCACTCAATACATACTTGGCAAATAAACTTAGAAGCTAGATTTTCTTTCTGCAAGGCCATTACTCTTTGGTGAAGAGCCCGGCCTGGCCTTGTCAAATAACAAGCTTGACCAAGAGCCAAAGCCACAGAGGGCCTAGAGGTGGGCGGAGGTGGCTAACCCCAGATTTAAAAATTACCTCAGCACCTGGGGATCTCAGTTTCACATCTGGACACAGGTTTGGAGGACTGAGGAGATGTACGTTAAAAAGCAAAAGTGTACAGTTGTTTCTGCGGGAGATGGGGGGAAGAAGGGCAAATTTCTTCTGCGCTTGCATGTCCATAAGTGTGTCAATTTGCAGCATTTGGGACGCTAAAGCCCCTCTTACCAAAACAAATCCAGCGCCACCGGGCTTGGGCTCTGCAACACGGAGCTTGCCCTTCCCCCGGCAGCTTCAGTGCCCTCACTTAGGTGGTTAGGCCGTGCCTAAACATCATTCTTTCCTGGGCGGAGGTGTTCCTGTCACAGGCTCAAGGTGCCAACGTGCCGCACCCTCCGCGCTCAGGTGTCCCGCAGGCAGCCGCGGGGCTCGCAGCACCGATCCGCGGACAGGCGGCGGAGCGAACACCCGGGCGAGGCCCCGCGGTGCGTCACGGGAGCTGCGGCGGCGACCTCCTGGCTCCCGCCCCCGCACGCGCCCGTTGCACGCACGCGCACTGCGCCCAGCATGAGGGTCGCGGCTCTGATCAGGTAATGCGGTCTTGGAGCCGCCTCCCTCTTCCCAGGCCAACCTCTCGTCCCTTCCAGCCGCCCCTAGCGCCGAAAGAGTGGGTGTCTCTGCCTGAGCCGCGTGTTGGGGGTTCCGCGGCTCCTCCGAGCCACAGGAAGAGGCGGAGCCTTCGGTATTGCCGGCCCGCTTGTGCCTCGGTCCTGGGCTGGCGCGCCTCCTCCCCGTCCGTTGCTGTCTCTCTGGTCTTCCAGCCCTCAAAGTTGGATTTCCATTGGATTCAACTGGGAAATTAAAAAAAAAAAAAAAAAAAAACTGACGCCTGGGCCCCGCCGCCAGAGGGATTCGTTTAATTACTTCTGTGCGGCCCGGCGTCTGAATTTTTTTCAAGCTCTCATGAGCCGTGAAGTTTGGAGCCACTACCTTGTTCCGCCAACTCAGTTAATAACCCTCGCCCTTTCCCCTTCGCTTTCTTCATCCTCTTCTGTAGTTCCCTTTGGTCAGCTGGGTCCGCCGTAGCCTGGGCTTCCTCCCTAGTTGTAACTGGTTCTGCCCCTCCCAAGAAGTCCACCCCTCCCTCATCTTCACAGATGTGGATTGCTTATGGCATGTGTGTGCGTCTGCCTTTGGGCACTCAAGTACAGAGATCTCTCTTCGTGGTAGAGACCGAATTGTACTAGTCTTATGCTAGATGCAGTTGCTGTTGCTTCGGACTCTCATCATTGCTTTAGAGTGACCTTATCGTATACTCCGTATTATGATGTCTGTAGTAACCAAATCATAAATTTAAGTGTCTAAATAAGTCCTATGACTGACAAACCAAAACCAAACCTGCTTAAGTATTTCCATACTCAATCTATAAACTGAGGCGGAAGGGAACACACTAACAACATTAAAAAGATAGACTACTTTAAATATTTGTTTCATGAGATTTTGCCCTGTAGAGTGTATTAGATACAGTACAACGATGCGTTTGCTTTTGTAATCCAATTGAAGATTTCATAAACGTTTTCGTTAAGTCCCTTTGGTAACTGATACTGGCTGGTTAAGCATTGTCCTATTAAGGACTTGATATGACATTTCAAACCTACTACAGTGTCTGAAATATTCCAGTTCCCTTTCCTTCAGTGTGATTTTTAGGAGACTAGACCATAATGTCACAATAATTACTGTTTTTCAGTAAATGTCCTCTGTAAAATGAATGATTAAGCTTTAACCATTGTGTCTCATTTTAAGAATTAAAAGTACCCCAGGAAGTGAATAATTCAAATTTACATCGTTTTTCAAAAGTTTAGTGATTAAAGTAAAGCACAACCACCAAAGACTTAGAAGTATTAGAGGGGAGGAGAGAAGATTGGTAGAGTCAGTTATACTAAATAACCTGTAATGTACATATGTTGCTTTATAATAAAAAATTTTGCTGAAAAAAGCAATGTTGGAAAATTCTTGCTAAAGTGTAAGAGCTGTAAGGACATATTCTGTAAGTATGAATACATAAGCACTTACCTATATGCTTATGATATAGATGCTATGTATTCTATATATATGCATTATATATAATTATGTATTGTAAGTGAATAAGTGAAACTGGGATTCTTACATATCTTTATAAGAACATTATTTTCCTTTTTAAATTAATTTTTTTATTATACTTTAAGTTCTGGGTTACATGTGCAGAACGTGCATTTTTTTACATAGGTATACACGTGCCATGGTGGTTTGCTGCATCCATCAACCCATCACCTACATTAGGTATTTCTCCTAACATTAGCCCTCCCCTAGCCCCCAACCCCCCACAGGCTCCGGTGTGTGATGTTCCCCTCCCTGTGTCCATGTGCTCTCATGGAACATGATTTTTCTAATAAATAAATGGGTCTTTGAATTTTATAGTTGAATGTTATTTTGAGGATTATCCAGGCGGACCATTCACTAATTTTTGTATGAAGTATGCAAACCTAAGCACATTTAATAACTTAGCTTAGTATCCCAGAATTGGAAACCAAAATAGATCTATAAGACCTCTCCCATAACATACATGTGTACTTAATGGAGTTCTAAGAGGACAGTAAGGTACTCTGCATTTCCCAAGCTTGTCTAATATTCAAAACCTTTTTTTAGAGTAATTGGTTAGTATTTTGTTGGACACCAGTGTTCCACAGAACACAGTTTGGTAAATACTACTTAAAACCATGTTTGAAATGTTAGCGTATTTCAAAATGAATTCTAAGACTCAATTCTGATTCTGGATGCACACCCTTCAATCTTTAATATCTGAAACAATTAGTCATATCTTTTTAGCCTGGGGAAACAGAGCAGTAAGGTTCGATATGGGAAGCTGTGGAAGACCTACTTACGGGGATACGGAATCTGAAGAGAGGAAGAATGGACTTTTTAAAACTTCACTTTGGCCCTTGCACTCTCCTTCCACTTGAGAAGTTTTGGAATGAGAGTTGTTATTGATGGGAGGGTGGAAGAGGCAGAAAATGTTGAAAACTAAGATAAAAGGCAACGACCAGTTTCTGGGGTCCTCAGTTTCTTGAGCTATGAAGAGGTCTAAACATTGCCTGGGGGCACATTTGCAGACCTTAAGCAAGTATTGGAAAGAAGGGAAACAGGAGGAAAAGAAATATAAAAGGGAGAGAGGCAATGAGAAATGATAGTGGGAATTAGGAGAATATTAAACCACAAATGGCATATAGATTGCCATTCAGCCATATTACAGATGAGCTACTACTTGTCTTTACTAAGTGATACGCCTCTGCCTTAGGTAGATTTAGAACCAGAATTTAGAAGTTCCTTTCAATGTGTTACTAGATTATAGCTCAAGCCATGTTCTGCTGCCATCATATATATATAAAATGTGTGTGTGTATAACATATGTATGTATGTAAGTGTGGTGATGGCTGAAGTACTGATAGTGCTGATGTTTCACGTCATCAGTGTAAGTCAGCATCTTGTTTTTTATCTCTGCAGAATTTGAACCCACCAAGTGTGTCAAACTTTGTCATTAGATAGGTACTCAAATCTTTAATTTGGTCCTTTAATTGCTGATGATAGCTATTTCTTAGATTTCTTATGGTGGAGCAGAATTTTTTTTTTTTTTACTTTCTCATAAAGAATCTTTTTTTTTTTTGCTTTTTCAATAATTTCTATGAAATTATTTTATATATATATTCCTTAAGTGGAATAATATATATTATATATATTCCTTAGATGGAATAATATATATTATATATATTCCTTAGATGGAATATATATATGAAATATATAATTATATAATAAATGTTTAGCTGGGATATAAATTGAAATCATTTTCTATTTGCAAAGCACTTCAAATATATGTATTTGCTATCACAAAGCAAAAAGTTACCGTATTTTATTTAGAATATTCTTTTTATAAAGGCATATAGTTTCTTAAGCTCCTGTGTATAGCAGCCCTGGACATTCAGGTTGCTCAGTTTGTTTATGATTTAGAAATTAATGTTTTTTTTGCATTGTAATATATTCTGAAATTCGAGTAAATACTATGTTCTGTTTCGATATCTAGTGATTTTATGTTGAATAATGGTCAGTAGCTTGATATTTGTCTCTCTGTTGATTTATTTTTTAGTGGTGGGAAGGACAGCTGCTATAATATGATGCAGTGCATTGCTGCTGGGCATCAGATCGTTGCTTTAGCAAATCTGAGACCAGCTGAAAACCAAGGTAAGTACATGCCTTTAGTGGGAAGTTGCCTAAATGAATGAAACTCCAACTTCATAATTACATTGTACAGGTATACCATACAAAGACGAAAAAAAAAAGAACCAATATATATTAAGCACCCATTAGATGCTAGGTTCCACCTAGAACTTAGCATTGTTTTCACTTATTTTTTAATTCTCATAACCAACTTCTAGAGATGCATTATTAATCTTAATAGACAGGGATCCTGAAGCTTAGAGTTTGTCTGAAGTAAACTAGCACAAACTTGTGGAGCTAAGACTTGAACCTTGTTACTTCAAAGTACACTGCCATTTTACCCCACCACATTTCCAAGTACTGTAGGCAGCATAGAGGTAGATAAGATATAGTCTCATGCCTCAAGGGGCTTGAGAAGTAAGCCATATATTGATAAATGATACATTAATGTTATTAGACACCTGTAGTCCCAGCTCCTCGGGAGGCTGAGGCAGGAGAATGGCGTGAACTCAGGAGGCGGAGCTTGCAGTGAGCTGAGATCGCGCCACTGCACTCCAGCTTCGGAGACACAGTGAGACTCCATCTCAAAAAAAAAAAAGATACAGTTTATGTGAGACTTGAGAGAAGCAAAAAGCAATGCATTTCCACTTTTCATTTGTCTGTAGTAACAAGGGCATCTACATAAAATTCACAGACCTCATATTGGCTACTTTTTCATTTTTTTCCCCAATGAAATATCCCCAGTTATAGCTTTTGACAAAAGAAATACATTCACCAATGTGCTTTTTAATGCTCTTGTGTTATACCTATGAAACTAAAAGATATTAACTGCTAAAATGTAAGAGGGAGCAAAGATTAGCACTTGTGTGACTTTTGTATTACTGCTTCTCACAGGACTGTTCTACTAAGATCTTTTTATTATCTCTTTTACTACTTTCCGGGCTCCATCTTTTTGCACTACTGTGATTTTAAGATGAATTAAATGAGTAGTATATGTGAGAACATTGGTTATAGTTCCTGTCATGAAGTAGGCATTCTGTAAATTTAGCTGAATTGGAATCTAGCTAAATACTTGTTTTGTATCTCTAAATAGATTGATTATAAGCTTTTTGAGGGGAGAGATCATATCTTCTATCTTCCTTTTATTGCTCCTCATTGCTTAGAACAGCTCTATGCCTCTGGTAGGAGTTCATGCAAAGGTGATTGGTGGACAGGTGCCTAATGAACTAATTTGAATTAGCCCTGGAATAGTAAGCAGTTATTTCAGTCAGATATTTGAATTTTCTTTTCTTCTGTGATTAAGACGTAAGTAATGCTGGAAGTTGTGTGGAAAGACAGAGGTTAGAAATATTTTATAGGAAGAAATGGAAAGGTCCCGCAGAGAGTCATAGGTAAATGCACATATTTGGATTTTGTGCTGCAATTGATGAGTAGCAGATGGTTTTTTAGAAGTGAAGTTTTTTGAAGAAGTTCCAACTTTAAGAAAGAGAAAATTCTTTGAGAATGAGTAGGAACTGCACTCTAACTTCTGTATTATAAAAGAGGAAGCAGAATCTCCTGTTAGGTTTACCAAAGGAAAGAAACTCCCTTATCCCTTGTGGCCAGGGAGGCAACTGGGACTTTTAAGCTATCTTGTGAAGTTAAAAAGCAGATGTTTATATAGTATATAATACCTACGTAGTATACTGTCATTTCCATCGCTGGAGTTTCTATCTTGTCTTTAGCTTTCACATGAATTATTTTACTTACCTGGTACAGAATCATTAATGTATTATCTTCCTTGTGTCCACAGTTCACTGGCAGGGTGGTAAAATGACAAGCAAAGTATATCTTTAAATTACACCTCTCCAAGGCTGGGCGCGGTGGCTCACGCCTGTAATCCCAGCACTTTGGGAGGCCGAGGCGGGCGGATCACAAGGTCAGGAGATCGAGACCATCCTGGCTAACATGATGAAACCCCGTCTCTACTGAAAATATTAAAATTAGCCGGGCATAGTGGCGGGCGCCTCTAGTCCCAGCTGTTGGAGAGGCTGAGGCAGGAGAATGGTGTGAACCCGGGAGGTGGAGCTTGCAGTGAGCTAAAATTGCACCACTGCACTCCAGCCTGGGAGACAGAGTGAGACTCCGTCTCAAAAAATATATATATAAATACATAAATACAATAAAAATAAAAATTATGCCTCTCACAATAGAGACACTTATTTAGAATATTGTTAATGAGAAAAAATTTAATAGTAAATGGAATTAGAATATTCTGAAGTAAAAAGCCTGGAAAAAGGCAGTTGAAACAATAGTAATTGTTGTGGAAGAAAGCAGATGGCTGTGGGTTGGTAGATGGAGATGGTTTAGCTAATCTTGATGAGAATCAGCAGGACATTGGGAATTATTGAACAATTCACTGAATGACTTATTTTCCCCTTACGAGTGTTGTAAAAGAAACCTTAGTGAGGAATGACTGGTAGAGATGACTGCAGTGTCCAGCAAAGTTATGGGTTTTCAGTGGGTGGTCTGAAAAGGAATTTATACCCATTGATGGAGATAATGTGAACTTGTCATAAAATTCACAAAACCATCTCTTTAGATTTGTAGTAGGAACTTTTGTGGCATGTTAATTGAGTTGCTTCAGGCAACAGGGGAGCCTTTGGTTTTATTTGATCTCACACTATTGTTGCTATGTAGCTTCCATTAATCAAAGTTACAATGTGGTTAGGACTAAATGGAGCCTTAAAGAAAATTATCTTCTAGGTTTTTGAAGCCAGTGAAATGTTTTACTTATTATGCTAACATCAGAATGTTTCTTGCCAAGAAGCACAAATTTCTTTGAATAAATTGATTTTATTGTATCAATATCCTTTAAAATGAATATTTTTAAAGATCCAGTCTAACTTTGAGACAAGAGAAGGCCGAAAGGTTTTTAGGTCTTTGGCTATGTTCTCTACTTCCTACTGGGACCAGGAGTAGAAACCTTTATAACAACAATGTGAGTAATATTCTGAAGGAAGCCAGTCTAATCATGTGTGAGTTCAGAAACCTGTGAGCCAAAATAGGGTAGCACATTTTGATGATTTTGATTGTTGAAGGGGTCCTTGCACTATCATTTTTCATTCCTTTTGATAGGAAATTTTCACATTTAATGCAAAGCCTGGACTGGTTTGGCTTATATTCATACATACACACATAGATATATGTCAGAATAATTATTTTGTAATTTTTCTTTCTTTTTTTTTTTTTTTTACTTAAAAGCATTTTGTGAACATTTTCCATGTCATTAAATATTATTCTACAATAGCATTTCCCGTATGTCTTTAGAACACAGATACCCCCTTTAAATTTAAGTGTTCTGTGGGTAGATAAATTTGAGAGATAGTTCATGTTCTCTGCTCTTATTGAAGTACCTGAAAGCATATTAGCCTAGGAAGATTTACGTCACAGACATCCATTTAACGCTGTTTATCCCCATGTTTCCTAAACTTCTTTAACCTTAAATCTTTTTATCATCCCATACCTATTAATATCTTATGGGATTTGTATGCCACAGAACATACTTTAGAAAATGTTCTTCAACATTATATTAATAGCTACATAGTACTTTATTATATGAATGTACTATAATTTCTAGTCTATTTTAAATAATGTGACAAATAGCTTTGCAAATAATCTTTGATTCATGATTCTTTTTCTGAAAAGTAAGGTTACGAGATCAAAAGGTCTATTCCAGTATATTTCTAAGTTCATTTATATCACCCAAAGCTCTGATGTGACTCATCTGTTTTGAATATTTTACTCATATTGATATTTGTGGAATCTTGTGACAACCACTGATTATATTATTGATTAGCTTAAGATATCATGTTTCTATGCACATTTGAAACTGCTCTAATGCTCTAACAATATTGAATTTATGTCTATTTACATATTTTATTATAAGGTACTGAATATCTGAATATAAAATATACCAAAATAATCTGAAATTTTTCTTACCAATATTTGTCACTTATTAACTAAGTAGATATTTAATTAAGAAAGGTTTTTTCTACAAGTCTAGATGACTTCGTGAATAACCTTGAATGATTTGTAAAACATTTATGTAATAAAAATCTTTAACTGAATAAACTAATCAAAATTTATTGGATACATTAGTCTTCTCTTTAAATGTTTGCCATATATGGTATAACAGATTTATGTATTAATACATTTGTATTTGTAATTAGTAGTAGAGATTATTAGGGGTGATATGAACTAGATGCAACTACAGACAAATGTACAATTCTTATGTTTTTATTTCACTACATAAATGCAGAGAAATATAGCAAGCTTTTAAGTTCTGTGTCGACTACTCTTCAAGCATTAAAACCTGGATGGGCTTTCAAATCCACTTTCTTTTTCACTCTCTTTTGCTAATTATTTCCATTTTAATTGTTGCAGTGGGGTCTGATGAACTGGATAGCTACATGTATCAGACAGTGGGACATCATGCCATTGACTTGTATGCAGAAGCAATGGCTCTTCCCCTCTATCGCCGAACCATAAGAGGAAGGAGCTTGGATACAAGACGAGTATACACCAAATGTGAAGGTGATGAGGTTGAAGATCTCTATGAGCTTTTGAAACTTGTTAAGGTATGCAGAGTAACCAATTAAGTATATTGAATTTAGTGTGTAATTTAAGAAATTACATTTGCCAAATTATTTAGAAATTCATAATTTGCAATTGTTAGTAGCCCAACTATTCTTTAAAAGGATATTTTGTCTTTTTTTGGTTATAAAAAAGCTCCAAATGGTGAATATGCCTTTATATTAAATGATATTTAAAAATAAGACTTTTTGTATAGTTTGGCATCCAGGATTATCAAATGATATTAAACTAAGTTTTCTGTTCCTAAGGAAAAGAAAGATTAGAGCTGATGGCCATTTAATTTCTTTATTAACAAATATTTTTTGAATGCCTACTATATGCCTGGCATATAGTGCTAGACACTGGGGATAGAGCAGTGAACACATAAGTTAAAGGCCTATGCTAATGGAGCTCACTTTCTAGTGGAAGAGGACAGGCAATAAACAAATAACATGCTTGATAGTGAACAGTACTATGAAGAAAAATGAAGCAGAATCAGATAGCACATGATGGCAGGACATAACTGTGGAGGTAGTGCTACATATGGTGGTCAAGCAAGACATTTCTGATAAGCTAACAAGTAGACATAAAAAAATGAGAGATTGAACCTTGCTTAAATCTGTTGGAACAGGTATGAATTTAATGCATAAGTCACAGTATGTAAGAGTTTGGCAGCCATTTTGCACTCATTAATTTCTAGGAGGGTATATTTGGGCTCATATATCTAATAGTTACTATACTCAGTAAATGGTAATTAATAAGGATGATTTTATATTAAGCAATTATCTTTTCATTTTTATTGATAGCCAACTATTTGAATACAGTTCAGTATTCTTCTAAGTATGAATTTTTATTCAATTACAATCGATTCCTATAAGGCAGATTTGATGAAGTAGGATATTCAAGCCAGTATTTCTTGATGTCTTACTATTTTTCACAAGGGGAAGGAAAGATTTCTGTCCCTTCCTCTACAAAGGGACATTGCATTTCACTTTCTCACTCTTGAGAGAAGTTCAGTTTTTTCAGAAGTTATCTCATGAACCTCTGTCATGAAAATTTTCTAGTTTCAGGTAGCTACTTAAACGACATACTTTGACTTTCATACAAATCAAAAGTTAATTAAGGATCTTGATTTGAAAAATATATGAAGCACTGAAATTCTTTTAAAATTTGACTACAATAGTTCTTACTTTGTATGTCAGAACATTTTTATTTTTATTCTAAAAAGAAACTGATAGGAAAAACCCTTAGAGGAGTACCAAAATTTTCTGCTTAGTTATGGATGGCATAAGTAGAAGATACTTTTGAAAGGAAATCACAGAGATCTGCTTTCTTCCCTTTGGGAAGATACATGCTGATAAACATTTTCATTATCAAACAAGGTAGAAGGCTTAAAAGAATCCTACTTTTAGTGGTCATATCTCCAAAAGGGTGCAATTATGATCTTGACAGTGTTCACTTTGAATTGTGAAATACTGAGTGCAAATCCTGCATTTTCAAAATTTCTTTCTCATAGTACAAAGAATTTGGGCATTATGTTTTTATATAAACCAATATTATAAAATGATGAGACTCACACTGAAGTAATTGGGTTGCTTAAAAATCATAAGCTTGATCACTTTGGAGAAACTCTGTGATAACAGCCCTGCAAGAAAGAGAAAGATAATAAATTACTATTAATAATAAATTTAATTAAAAATGGACAGATTAGCAATAATTAAGAAGAAATTTTCCTTTCCATCCATGCTGTCTTTGGAGAAATGGATGCTTTGCCATTATTATCTTTATGGTAACCATCAGTTATGACATAAATTAATGCTAATGTTAAAATCTTGACAACTTATGCTTTGGAAGTTTGTACATGATAATTATAGTTGAAAGATATGTTATCAAGTTGTCTGGGACTAAATAGTTCCTTCTTTTCCTGTGTAGAAATATTAACTTTACTATAGGATATTTTAAGGACATAAATATCAGAAATATATTGCTTTTATGGAAGTGATTGTGTAACTAGGCTTTTATAGTTAAATTCATTTATGAAACACTGGTGCAAAGATTCCAATAGAGGTCTTACATATTCTGATGAATAACTGAGTAATTATGGAAAAAACGAATCTAGAAAAGCTATAATTTTTCAAGTTAGTGTTTACTTGTTCTAAGAAAAAGAAAGAACTGCATTTTTTAATCCTTTGAATATTAATGGAGTATGGAAAGCATTTAGATTTATTTTCGTTGTATACATTTATTTATAACCAGTTACAGCTTTGCAGCTTTCACATGTAAGTCTTGTTTTTGTAACATTTTTCCCACAAATATTAAAACTAATTTTTGAATAGATGTTCCTTTTTGCAAAGAGTTTAATTTACTAATTGCTGAAAAGAAGTAGGAAAGACTTGGAAGAACTTAGAGAGTTATAAGTTTCATAACTATTTTGTAGAAATTATGACACTTAATAGAAATGTAATAAGCCTTTGTCTCATAAATTATCAGGTGACTCTGATAGCTAGAGGTATGTATCTCAAGGTTTGCAAAATATTTTTCATGTGGCTAATCTTTTATTCTTTAGAATTTCTTTACTATTAAAATGTAACTTCAGTTCTTATCTAGTTTAGTTTAATAGATAACTGTATTTTTCCTGAAAATATAGTCATTTCCAATTCTGTTTGTTTTAAGTCACATGAGCAGTGTAATAGTTACAGAAAGATACATATAAGCACTATATCGCTATAGGAAATATATGTAGGGATTATATTCTTTCTGTTCTATTGGGTTGGAGCTACTTTCTGGATCTGATGTCTTCCTTTTTCTTGATTTATTCCTTAGTTTCAGTATAATCTATATTTAAGATACTGCCTTAGGGGAGTTTGGAATCTTTCCATTTTGAAAATGTTCCTGTTCTGCCCTCGTATTTTATTGATTTGGTTGAATTTAGGACTTTAAGTTGAAAGTCATTTTTTCCTCAAATCATAGACAGCATTGCCCCATGGTTCTCTAGCCTTTTGCAGATACTGGTGTGATTGTTGTTCCCTTTTAGGTGGTCTGTTTTTCTTCTCTGTTAACTTTTATGACGTGTCTTCATGTTTGGTGTACTGAAATATCACAGTAATGCTGTATTGAGTGTTGTTTCTCCTGCATCCCTTCCCTAAATCCCTATTGAGTAGTGACACATCCCTTGTCTTCTTTCTCTGATTGATGGTTTGGGCATAGGCATGTAATCCAGGTGATAGCCAGTCAGAACATAGCATTCTTCTGGCCACAGTGATTGGATCAGAGGTGGTTTTGTTAACCTATGTTTGTCCTAATAGAATGAAGCCTAGAATGTTGGGTAGTTGGCAGAAGATAAGCTCTTTTCCTTCTGTGCAGAGAGATGTGTGGATGTGAGACCTAAAACTGCCATAGCCATTTTTATTTTTTTGACGGGAGAAAACTTGATGTCAAATCTGATACACAACATATTGCAAAGCCAATAGAATTGCAGTGTAAGGATGGTTCTTCCACTAGTTGTTTGATAATTTGTTCCTTTTGATTTTCTCTGTTCCCTTTTGCTGACACTCTCACTAGTCAGACATGAAACCTTCTAGACTGAATCTTCATGTCTCTTTTTTTAAATGTATTTTCTATCTCAGTGTCTTTTTGTGGTACATTCTGTGAGATGTCCTTTTTAAATTTCCCTACTTTCTTCCTAAATTTTTTAAATTTTAGCCATCATATTTTCAGTAGTCAAGAACTTTTCTTGTTTGTCCATTGTTTTTTAATAACAACTTATTTTTCTTTCTATAGATGTAACATCCCTATATCCTCTTAAAATACAAACAGAGATTTTAAATATTATCTTTCGTTTCCTGAAATATTGGTGTTTTCTTTCTTTTTCTTTTTATTTGAGACAGAGTTTTGCTCTTGTCGCCCAGGCTAGAGTGCAATGGCACAATCTTGGCTCACCACAACCTCCGCCTCCCGGGTTCAAGCAATTCTCCTGCCTCAGCCTCCTGAGTAGCTGGGATTACAGACATGTGCCACCACGCCTGGCTAATTTTGTATTTTTAGTAGAGACGGGGTTTCTCCATGTTGGTCAGGCTGGTCTCAAACTCCCAACCTCAGGTGGTCCGTCCGCCTTGGCCTCCCAAAGTGTTGGGATTACAGGCTGAGCCATCGCTCCCGGCTGATACTGGTGTTTTCTTTGAGATTTTTTTTTCTTAGTTTTCTTCTCTTTCATGTCATAGACTTTTCTTTAATGTTTTGGTTGCCTTTTCATATCCAAGAATAATACAAGAGGAAAGCTGACTGTGAATGCTTTTGACTCTAGAATTTTCACAACCCCACATCTCATATTTGTTATTCCTGGAGTTCAGGATAGTGTGGCCTAGTTTGGTGCCTTTCTTGGCTCTGTTCTCTTCCATGCAAACAGTAGATTATGGCTGTCTCTGCTGACCAGTCATCGTTCCTTCTTTATCAGCTTTCTAACTTAATAAATTAATTGAAATCCTTTTTTCATTGGTTCTTTCCTTCTGTTTATTATTGACAGTAATAATTGAGGGATCAAAATTTTAATAAATATTAAATACATAAATAATAAATTTAATAATAAAAATAACTAAAAATTATTTTTTTTATTGACAGCAATCTAAAGGTAAGTTTAACTTCAAAATAACTAGATATAGGACACAAATTTTATAATCAAAGTCAAGATTTTTTTGTTTTGTTTTGTTTTGTTTTCTGTTTCTCTCTTACCTCTACTTTCTGTAGACTCTCTTCTCAGTCAGGACCTTGTAATTAGAGGATGGCTCCCAGTTGTATGCTTCTTGGCTAAAATATAGTAGGAAAAGCTCCAGTTTTCATTTTATTTTATTTTATTTTATTTTATTATTTATTTATTTATTTATTTATTTATTTATTTTGAGACGGAGTCTCGCTCTGTCGCCCAGGCTGGAGTGCAGTGACTGGATCTCAGCTCACTGCAAGCTCCGCCTCCCGGGTTTACACCATTCTTCTGCCTCAGCCTCCCGAG